GCGGGGCGGGGTTCTTCGTGGTGGGAGGGGGCCGGGTTGCAGTCTCAGGGACGTGACGTCCCCGCCTCGCTCTGGGGAGGCGCCTTACCTGGGGCCGGGCGTGGTGCACTGTGGGACAGTGCAGGCTGGAGGGAGGGTGGTTGCTGGGGAAGGGGCAGGGGAAGCTCAGGGCTCTGCCCCACAGTAACCCTCTGCCTGTGGGACAGTGCATCATGCCTGCTCCCAGCCCCCCAGCTGGATGGGAGCTGTCTCAGGCAGCAGGGTCTGCCTCCCCCCCCCCTCCCCAGTGAGACAGAGCAGTGTGAGCCAGGAAGGGGTGCAGAGACACCAGTGTGTATCTTGCAGGGGCGACCCATCCAAATATCCTATACCCTAGGAAGTTATGCACTGAGCCAGGAGAGCGTACGTTTTGGTCCCTCCTCCATTCATTGGTATTCATGTTTCTAAGTACCTTTTAGCCCTAGTTACTGACCAAGGCCTAATAACTGACAAGGCAGTTGAGTTGTTAGCCTATAACATTTTATAAATACATTAGACAAGAGATTATCCAAGTTATTTAAGGCAGAACTTGCAATGGAAGCTAAGTCTGTAATGTAACAGACCTAATTGTTACTCAGCCGAGTTGCCTTTGAGATACAATTTATGTCTTTGGATTATCTTACCTCTGTTTAATCAAACATTTTTCTTCAAACTTGGGATTTCCAGTCTCCAAAATTCAACTATTGTTTCAGCAAGCAGTTAATAATCTGCTGGCAAAGTGTAGCAAAAATGATCAATAGAAGTGAGGCGAGAGACTTTGGTGCTGCCCAGACTCAATGGGGAGAGAAAATAATGGGGAAGTAGGGACAGCTGTTGAGTTAGGGCGACAAAGACAAGGCTTGGTGTCACAGCTCCACACAGCTTTGTGGTGGGTTAGAAATGTATAACTGAATCAAAGGCAGCAGGGGCTAGACTTGAACAGCTGAGGACTTTGGTAAACAAGGGACAGTTGCCAAGACAAATTGGAAATCACCAAGACTCCCACAACTGTGGGCTGTGGTAATGGGCTCTTCACATATTCACCATAAACCCTCATTATGTGTAGGCTGATCTCATATGGCATTTTCTATGCATCTTTCAACAATAGTGCGTTCTTAGCAAAGGAGTAATTTGTGAGCCATATGTATGTGATTCCCTCCCCCCGCTCCAATTTCAGGTTAAAAGCTAGCATGTAACTCTGGTATGAATTTATATAGTAAATAAAGTGCTCAAAAGTAACAATAGAACAGGAATCAAATGGGAAACAATTATATGTGAATCCAAAATAGAATAAAAAGGTATATCTTTTTATATACGCTTTTGTATAACTATTTGATCTGGAAGGCATACTTCACTAAATTACAGTATAGTAAAAGAGTACACCAAGTCCTATTTTGGCTAGCTTATTTGACAGCATTGCTTTGCATACTATGTAGCATATGGAGCCCAGGTGTCCATGTAATAATTCTGTTTCTCTTTCCTCCACATTACAAAAATCCAACCTTTTATTTGGGTTCTCAGGGTCAGGTTGCTCATACACATCTTACCTTCCCTCTTGACTATTGCAGACTCCTTGGATTTTATTATATGACTCTCAAACCCTTTCAGCCCATCCGAATTGCTGCCCGTAAAATCTTGCTTGATTATTGCTTCAGTTATGTAACTTGTCCCTATTGAATCATGCCATTGACTCCACATTGTGTTATACATTACATCCCTGTCTTCATGACCCACTAGCTCAGACCTAGTCTCTTCTCCCTAACCGTACCCCATCAATTCCTCTCGCTCACCCTTTCATTTTCTTTTGACAAAAATTTGTGCCTGTGTCCCATGCTTGGAATACCTTTCCAAAAGTTTATGCTGTAATACCCTAATAAATCAGGTAAGCCTGATTAAGTGGGTTTTACTCACCAAAGCTCAAGATACTATATATTTTTGTTAGCTTCTGAGGTTCCACAGGACTACTTGTTACTAATAAATTTGTTAGTCTTTAAAGTGCAACTGGACTCCTTGTTTTACTTAAAAACTAATTTAAAAAGTATTTGCTAAAAATGGATTTACATTTGTTATATTATATATTTTAAATATATTTTCTATCTGTTAACACAGATACACTTAAAACTATATTTTACCGAGACACATGCCTGTATCTATGCCTGATGTCAGTAACCATGCTATCTTGACTGTAATCCATGTCTTTCCTCCCCATTTTCCTTTTTGATGTATGTTATATCTTCATTTGTCTGCCTAGTGCACTAAGGCCTTAGCTTCCAAATTCTTATATATGTGTAATTTAACTGATGTGAGTAATTCATTTGCAGTCAGTGGACTAATTGAGCCTCTATACAAAATTTCAAATATAAACAGGAGTTGTTCAGCTGGAAAGGGTTGGAAAGACTTGCTGTAAAGGGACATAAACATCTGGCAATACATCTGGCTCCTATGTACATTTATAAAGCACTGTTCATGTCAGGCATCCCAAGATACTATACAAAATAAGCAAAAAAATTAAACTAAGAACATATGAGCCAGAGAAAATAGAAATATTTTCAATTTATTGTAAAATAAGAAATTAATCCAATTTATTGCACAAATACTGTTTGGGAGAATATATTACCATTTTGGTGCCACACTGGGAAACTCTCTTGCACCTTTATGCCTGCTGACTTCAATTTGTACCCTTCAGGCAACAAGTAAGCCTGAAGGCTTTTGGCTCATATACCATGCTGACGCAGCAGTGTAGTACTGTAGGAGGTTCCAGCTCTGTTAAAGGTCCTGTAATAAAAGCTGAGGTCCTGTCAGTCTCTGATCAAAGTTGGACATCCCGTCATGTTTTGAACAGAAGAATGGTGAACCTCCACATGGCTCACCATTACAAGACAAAAAAGATCTGCTTCCTACTTCAAAGGCCATCGATGATGAACTATTGCTGAGCCCATTGTATGGTAGCAGTCATGTTTGCCTGCACTTAGGGTGTGTCTAGACTACATGCCTCCTTCGACGGAGGCATGTAGATTAGCCAGATCG